CATGCATACACGTGGCACATACATACACGTGGGACATGCATACACGTGGCACATACATACACGTGGGACATGCATACACGTGGCACATACATACACGTGGGACATGCATACACGTGGCACATACATACACGTGGGACATGCATACACGTGGCACATACATACACGTGGGACATGCATACACGTGGCACATACATACACGTGGGACATGCATACACGTGGCACATACATACACGTGGGACATGCATACACGTGGCACATACATACACGTGGGACATGCATACACGTGGCACATACATACACGTGGGACATGCATACACGTGGCACATACATACACGTGGGACATGCATACACGTGGCACATACATACACGTGGGACATGCATACACGTGGCACATACATACACGTGGGACATGCATACACGTGGCACATACATACACGTGGGACATGCATACACGTGGCACATACATACACGTGGGACATGCATACACGTGGCACATACATACACGTGGGACATGCATACACGTGGCACATACATACACGTGGGACATGCATACACGTGGCACATACATACACGTGGGACATGCATACACGTGGCACATACATACACGTGGGACATGCATACACGTGGCACATACATACACGTGGGACATGCATACACGTGGCACATACATACACGTGGGACATGCATACACGTGGCACATACATACACGTGGGACATGCATACACGTGGCACATACATACACGTGGGACATACATACACGTGGGACATGCATACACGTGGGACATGCATACACGTGGCACATACATACACGTGGGACATGCATACACGTGGCACATACATACACGTGGGACATGCATACACGTGGGACATGCATACACGTGGCACATACATACACGTGGGACATGCATACACGTGGCACATACATACACGTGGGACATGCATACACGTGGCACATACATACACGTGGCACATGCATACACGTGGCACATACATACACGTGGGACATGCATACACGTGGCACATACATACACGTGGGACATGCATACACGTGGCACATACATACACGTGGGACATACATACACGTGGGACATGCATACACGTGGGACATGCATACACGTGGCACATACATACACGTGGGACATGCATACACGTGGCACATACATACACGTGGGACATGCATACACGTGGCACATACATACACGTGGGACATGCATACACGTGGCACATACATACACGTGGGACATGCATACACGTGGCACATACATACACGTGGGACATGCATACACGTGGCACATACATACACGTGGCACATGCATACACGTGGCACATACATACACGTGGGACATGCATACACGTGGCACATACATACACGTGGGACATGCATACACGTGGCACATACATACACGTGGGACATGCATACACGTGGCACATACATACACGTGGGACATGCATACACGTGGCACATACATACACGTGGGACATGCATACACGTGGCACATACATACACGTGGGACATGCATACACGTGGCACATACATACACGTGGGACATGCATACACGTGGCACATACATACACGTGGGACATGCATACACGTGGCACATACATACACGTGGGACATGCATACACGTGGCACATACATACACGTGGGACATGCATACACGTGGCACATACATACACGTGGGACATGCATACACGTGGCACATACATACACGTGGGACATGCATACACGTGGCACATACATACACGTGGGACATGCATACACGTGGCACATACATACATACTGGAACATGCATACACGTGGCACATACATACACGTGGGACATGCATACACGTGGCACATACATACACGTGGGACATGCATACACGTGGCACATACATACACGTGGGACATGCATACACGTGGCACATACATACACGTGGGACATGCATACACGTGGGACATGCATACACGTGGCACATACATACACGTGGGACATGCATACACGTGGCACATACATACACGTGGGACATGCATACACGTGGCACATACATACACGTGGGACATGCATACACGTGGCACATACATACACGTGGGACATGCATACACGTGGCACATACATACACGTGGGACATGCATACACGTGGCACATACATACACGTGGGACATGCATACACGTGGCACATACATACACGTGGGACATGCATACACGTGGCACATACATACACGTGGGACATGCATACACGTGGCACATACATACACGTGGGACATGCATACACGTGGCACATACATACACGTGGGACATGCATACACGTGGCACATACATACACGTGGGACATGCATACACGTGGCACATACATACACGTGGGACATGCATACACGTGGCACATACATACACGTGGGACATGCATACACGTGGCACATACATACACGTGGGACATGCATACACGTGGCACATACATACACGTGGGACATGCATACACGTGGCACATACATACACGTGGGACATGCATACACGTGGCACATACATACACGTGGGACATGCATACACGTGGCACATACATACACGTGGGACATGCATACACGTGGCACATACATACACGTGGGACATGCATACACGTGGCACATACATACACGTGGGACATGCATACACGTGGCACATACATACACGTGGGACATGCATACACGTGGCACATACATACACGTGGGACATGCATACACGTGGCACATACATACACGTGGGACATGCATACACGTGGCACATACATACACGTGGGACATGCATACACGTGGCACATACATACACGTGGGACATGCATACACGTGGCACATACATACACGTGGGACATGCATACACGTGGCACATACATACACGTGGGACATGCATACACGTGGCACATACATACACGTGGGACATGCATACACGTGGCACATACATACACGTGGGACATGCATACACGTGGCACATACATACACGTGGGACATGCATACACGTGGCACATACATACACGTGGGACATGCATACACGTGGCACATACATACACGTGGGACATGCATACACGTGGCACATACATACACGTGGGACATGCATACACGTGGCACATACATACACGTGGGACATGCATACACGTGGCACATACATACACGTGGGACATGCATACACGTGGCACATACATACACGTGGGACATGCATACACGTGGCACATACATACACGTGGGACATGCATACACGTGGCACATACATACACGTGGGACATGCATACACGTGGCACATACATACACGTGGGACATGCATACACGTGGCACATACATACACGTGGGACATGCATACACGTGGCACATACATACACGTGGGACATGCATACACGTGGCACATACATACACGTGGGACATGCATACACGTGGCACATACATACACGTGGGACATGCATACACGTGGCACATACATACACGTGGGACATGCATACACGTGGCACATACATACACGTGGGACATGCATACACGTGGCACATACATACACGTGGGACATGCATACACGTGGCACATACATACACGTGGGACATGCATACACGTGGCACATACATACACTGGAACATGCATACACGTGGCACATACATACACGTGGGACATGCATACACGTGGCACATACATACACGTGGGACATGCATACACGTGGCACATACATACATACTGGAACATGCATACACGTGGCACATACATACACGTGGGACATGCATACACGTGGCACATACATACACGTGGGACATGCATACACGTGGCACATACATACACGTGGGACATGCATACACGTGGCACATACATACACGTGGGACATGCATACACGTGGCACATACATACACGTGGGACATGCATACACGTGGCACATACATACACGTGGGACATGCATACACGTGGCACATACATACACGTGGGACATGCATACACGTGGCACATACATACACGTGGGACATGCATACACGTGGCACATACATACACGTGGGACATGCATACACGTGGCACATACATACACGTGGGACATGCATACACGTGGCACATACATACACGTGGGACATGCATACACGTGGCACATACATACACGTGGGACATGCATACACGTGGCACATACATACACGTGGGACATGCATACACGTGGCACATACATACACGTGGGACATGCATACACGTGGCACATACATACACGTGGGACATGCATACACGTGGCACATACATACACGTGGGACATGCATACACGTGGCACATACATACACGTGGGACATGCATACACGTGGCACATACATACACGTGGGACATGCATACACGTGGCACATACATACACGTGGGACATGCATACACGTGGCACATACATACACGTGGGACATGCATACACGTGGCACATACATACACGTGGGACATGCATACACGTGGCACATACATACACGTGGGACATGCATACACGTGGCACATACATACACGTGGGACATGCATACACGTGGCACATACATACACGTGGGACATGCATACACGTGGCACATACATACACGTGGGACATGCATACACGTGGCACATACATACACGTGGGACATGCATACACGTGGCACATACATACACGTGGGACATGCATACACGTGGCACATACATACACGTGGGACATGCATACACGTGGCACATACATACACGTGGGACATGCATACACGTGGCACATACATACACGTGGGACATGCATACACGTGGCACATACATACACGTGGGACATGCATACACGTGGCACATACATACACGTGGGACATGCATACACGTGGCACATACATACACGTGGGACATGCATACACGTGGCACATACATACACGTGGGACATGCATACACGTGGCACATACATACACGTGGGACATGCATACACGTGGCACATACATACACGTGGGACATGCACATGTCCTTGACCACATGCCATAATCCTTTCACATACCCATTTGGACGTCGCTGGTTCATTCCTTGCCTTCCCATTGACACCTCAGCTTTTCGCGTCATGTTCAATAAGGTTCAATAAGGTTCGATAAGGTTCAATAAGGTTCAATAAGGTTCAATAAGGTTCAATAAGGTTCAATAAGGTTCAATAAGGTTCCTGCCCCTCTCCCCCTTTTCCATCCCGCGCTCTCCCTTGCCCTTGTTTTCCCCTTCACCAACTCACCCTCTCAGATTTCCCTCCTTCCAATCCCCCTCCTCCTCCCTCCAGGCGCACTTGTACTGTCAGCAACATGCTCGCCTGCCATCAACGCGCACATCCATTCCCCCATTTTCCCCTTTCCCCCCGTTCTCCTCTTTTCCCTGTCTTGTTGCCCCCCTCCTTTCCATCGCTCTCTCTCCATTTGCCTGCCTTTCCCTCTTCGTCTACTCATCCTCCCACAATTTTCTTTCCATCCAATTCCCTGGTTCCAATCCCCTTCCTCCCTTCAGGCGTACATGCACCGTCAGCACATGCTCGCCCGCCGGCGCCCCGCACCGCCATCCACATCAGCACCGCCGTCCACGTCAGCACCACCGGTGGAGTCAAAGCAGAAGCGCGGACTCACCCCAGGATCTGTGCGCTCTCCTCGGTCTTTGGAAGGGGACGTGGGGACAGGGGAGAGTCTTGGGGTGAGTGTGTGAGACATAGGTCATGTTCATTGAGTGTACAAGCGTGTTCCATAGCCTTGAGCTTACCATGCACCATGCACCATGCATTATGTACCAGTACCACGCACCATGCACCACGCACCATGCACCATGCACCATGCACCATGCACCATGCACCACGCACCACGCACCATGCACCATGCACCATGCACCATGCACCTTATACCATGCACCATGTAACATGCGTCATGCTTCCTGGTCTATAATCCTGCCCCTGTAAAGCAAATCGCCCTTCTGCTTTCATGATCCACCGTCCAATTCATCACGTTCAGCCCACCTTCCCCTCGTCCCCCAACTTCCCCCACCTCACTCAACTCCCCCCATTGAACTCCCCACCTTCCCCCTTCCCCCCCCTCCTCCAGCCCACCATCCCTGATCCCGCTATAGAGTGCCTCGGGACTCGTTACATGCAGCATGAGCTCCAGGGCGCATTGAAACAAGCCATTCTCGGGCTCTCACACCAAGAGTGGCCGTAATCTCCCCCCCTCCCCCCAATCCCCCTCCTCCAGTCCACCATCCCCGACCCAGCTATTGAGTGCTCTGAGACGCGCTACATGCAGCAGGAGGTGCAGGGAGCGCTGAGGCAAGCCATTCTCGGGCTCTCACCCAAAGAGCGAGCCATCATTCAACTCAGATTCGACCTGCCAGAATCTCTTCTGGAAGATTGCCGCCCGGCAAATTATCTCCTCAAAGGTTGCCGCCGGGCTGATCCTCTCCTCAAAGATTCGCTCCAGACGGATGGCTGCTCGGCTGATTGCAACTGTGGGGGCAATGGGCTTGGGGGCGGCGCCGGGCAGCAACAGGGGCAGCAAATTATCGTGGGTTGTGTTAAGCAAGAGGGGGGGCATGGTGAGATGCGGAAGACCGTGCAGGAGGTGGGGGTGATGGTGGGGTTGACTGGAGGACGGGTGCAGCAGATACAAACAGCAGGGTTGGGTAAGATGAGGAGGAGCATGACAGGTTGGGAGGGGTATGTGCATATGTGGGGGAATTGAGAGGGGTGCAGTGGGATGTGGAGTGAGGTGTGCAGTTGGTTTTTGCGGGGAGGCGTGCAGTGTGTGCAAACATTGGATTACCGTATGCTGTTCATATTGTTCCTATCCCATCTATAGGCTTTTTGTACCTACGTCTCTACAATGACAGCTCAACTCGATATGTCTTCATGTCATACCTAGAATTAGAATATACAGCAGAAATATTTGGAGTACACAAGGCCAACAGGACACTAGTGCGTGGCAACTAGTGAAAGACACGGACGATGGGAGGTTCTATTTACTAGGCCAACGGTGGATGAGAACTTGAGAAGCTGGGGGGGTGGATGGATGGAAGGAGTGATCTTCGGTGATAGGGTGCGGGTAACAGTGGGTGATAGGAGCGGGTGATAGGAGTGCGTGGGTGCTGCCAGGCATCTGTGCTGACAGGGTTGGTGGGTGCAGGGTGGGTGTGGGATGGGTGCGGGATGGGTACGGGATGGGTGCGGGTGATAGGAGCGATGGTGGGCAAGTGGGATGCGCTCCAGGGATGGGTTTGCAGGTAGGATGTTGGGCAGCGGGATGGGTGTGGCTGATTGTGTGTGTGCTTGTGCCTGTGGCCCTATCTATTGCTTCTACTCCAGCTATGAGATGCCGCGTCAACCATCCCCTCTAGTGCTTGTGCTCGTGCGCGTGGTGCTCCTTCTCGTGCGCATACAGCTCCTCCTTGTGTGCCTTGTACGATGCAAACTCCTCAATCCAGACTCGTGCACTTTCCCCTGCCTCTTGTTGAAGCGGTCCCCTCCTCCCTCTAGTGCTTGTGCTCGTGCGCGTGGTGCTCCTTCTCATGCGCGTGCTGCTCCTCCTTACGTGCCTTGTCCGAAGCAAACTCCTCGATCCAGTCTCATGCTTCTCCTCTCTTCCAATGCTCCTTCTCCTCCCTGCTCTCCTTTGTGCCCCCCCTTTTCCACATCTAGTGCTTGTGCTCGTGCGCGTGCTGCTCCTCCTTATGCGCCTTGTCTGATGCAAACTCCTCAATCCAGTCCAGCGTGATGCTCTTGGGGCGCTCGATGGGGAAGCCCAGGGCACGGTCCCACACCAGCTGCAGGGAGGGGAAAGAGAAGGAATGCAAGCGGGTTAGATACAGTGATGGAATGGAATGTGTGTGTCCAGTCAAGGGCGATGCTCTTGGGGCGCTCGATGGGGAAGCCTAGGGCGCGATCCCACAAGAGCTGCATAGGGAGAGATGGGAGGGAAAGGAGGTAAGGGAGGAAGGGAAGAACAAGAAAGGATGTAGAAGTCTGTGATGGGATTTGTCTGTGTCCCAAAACCCGCTGCAGGGAGGGGAGAAGGGAAGAGTGTGGCAAGGCAAAACATAGTTGAATAGAATGCACCGTAAGGGGATAACATTGCAGGCAAGGGAGTGAACAGTTTTGGAGGTCAGTGTCTCAGTGACAACAACCCAACTGTGACCACACCTCAACTTCACCTGAGAGTAGCATAACTGTCCAACAAACCACCTGAGGAAGCACATGAGAGCAACAGACCCACCTGAGAGAGCACTCCCATGGCTCGTGAGACGCCAAAGAGCACGGTGTAGTAGCTGGAGGGAGGGGAGGGGGCAGAGAGGGGAAGAAGAGGCGGTGGGGAGAGAGAGGAAGTGGGGGGACAGAGAGGGGAGAAGAGTAAATTATGAGTCACCAAAAAATCCCCTTGAAAGGTGGGAAAGAGCAATGTGTAGAGGGGAGGGGGGGTGGGTGGGGAGTTTGGAAAGAGGAGAGGAAGTGGAGGGAAACAAAAGTTGGGGAAGAAAAGGTCGTTCAGAGACAGATGATATGACGAGCAGCACTGAGCAGCGTGCACGGTGCACAAGGGGGTGCAGCACTAAACGACAAACGGAGCCACCCACCTGGCTTCAGCGAGACATAGTGCTGCAGCAACACACACTAGACAACAGACAGGGCTTGGAACAGTAAAAGACAAGCTGAGCCACCCACCTGGCCTCGGTGAGCCCATAGTGCTGCAGCAGCACGCCACTGTGCGCGTCCACGTTGGGCCAGGGGTTCTTCACCTTGCCCGTCTCGAGGAGAATATGGGGCACCACCTCGTACAGGTTGGATACCTGCAGCAGAGAAAGGGGATCAGGTGGAATAAGGGAGGAAAGGGGATGAAGGGGCAGTGATGGTGCGAGCGTACAGGTTGGATACCTGCAGCAGAGAAAGGGGATCAGGTGGAATAAGGGAGGAAAGGGGATGAAGGGGCAGTGATGGTGCGAACGTACAGGTTGGATACCTGCAGTGAAGGGAGGCGAGAAGGTAAATGAGTAAGAAATGGGGAAAACGGCCCCAGTGATGCTGTGCGTGTGCTTGTTGGACGAGATTGGGCATAAACCAGAAAGAGGAACAGATTGGACATGATATATTTCATGACAGCAACTCTCGAGCTTGAATGTGGGATCATGGGGCACGTGCTTGATTGATAACTGGTGCTTGAGCGATAACTGGTGCTGGCAGCTGTAGCGCGGATCGGTCACCCTCAGAACCGCGTGGCCTTCCCCAGCACCACCTTGGGAACTCCAAATAGAAGAACTACGCACACACCAGCTTGCATGTGGGGTCATGCGGGAGGTGCTTCAGAGCAAACTGGCGCTAGCAGCTGTAGCGGGGGTCCGTCACCCTCAGCACTGCATGACCATACCCCGGCACCACCCCAGGAGCTCCAAAATTCAGAGCATCTCACTTACCAGCTTGACGGTCGGATCGTGCGGCAGGTGCTTGAGTGCGAACTGGCGCTGGCAGCTGTAGCGGGGGTCGGCCACCCTCAGCACCGCATGGCCATACCCCGGCACCACCTTACCGCTCTGCAGCGTGCGGCCATACCCCAGCACCACCTTGGGAACTCATGAGACAAGAATTACTCACCAGCTTGAAGGTGGGGTCGTGGGGCAGGTGCTTGAGCGCAAACTGGCGCTGGCAGCTGTAGCGCGGATCGGTCACCCGCAGCACAGCGTGGCCATAGCCCGGCACCACCTTGCCGCTCTGCAGCGTGCGCCACACAAAGTCCCTCAGCTCATCCTTGCCTGCTTCCTCCCCCACGTCTGCCTTGACTTCTTCCAACCACCGCAGCACCTCCTGTAATGGGGAAAGGTTGGGGGGCAGAGGGTGAAGTGGAGGTGGAAAGGAGAATGGAAGAGAAGAAGGGGACAGAGGGGGTGAGATGAGGGTGGGAGGTAGGTGAGCAAGATGGGCAGTCCAAGTGCTGCTGCTGCAACTAGGCTCGTCTATTGCAATGAGCCGTTTTAATTCCCACTGAATCATTGCATTTATGAGAAGGGCGGGTTGGAAGAGCACTGGTGACTTGCCTGATTAGCGAGGTGACTTTTGAGTCAACTCAGAAATCAAATCATGAGAAGGCCGGGTTGGAAGCGCACTGATGACTTGCCTGGTTAGCAAGGCCGTGGAGAGGACCCGCGAGACCGTTGAGGCCAGCAGCGAAGGAGAGGTAGGGATCGGAGAGGGCGCTGCCCACCTGTTGGGATGAAAGAGCAGTGAGGAAAGGAGAGGAGGGGAGGAGGAGGAGGGAGAAGGGGAAGAGAGTCGGGGGAACAGAGACAGGAAAGAGAGAAAGGGGAAAAGGAAAAAGGGGAGTTGAGGTCAGCAGCGAAAAGTGGTAGAGGTCAGGCAGTCAGGTCCGAGGAGAATGGGAAGAGAGAGAAAAGTGGTGGAGATGGGCCAGGAGGAGATGCTCAGGGTCAGGAGTCTACTGTGGTCAGGTGAGATTATGAGGAATTTACTTTTGAGGAGCCTCAAAAGTAGACTGAGGTGTGGTGAGATGATGAGGAGTTGAGGGGAGAGGAAGTTGGCGAGACAGTGCAGGTGGGGATGGGAGGGGGGCGCGTGGGGAGAGGGGGGCGAGGGGAAGAGTGGGCGAGTGGGCTGGGCACGACAATAAAAACGGTCATGACAGTTGCTCGCTGACGTGCTCTCACCAGGTGGGTGGCGTGCGCGCTCACGTTGCCTCCCTCGTGATCCCTGCTCGCCATGAGTCATGCACACACGAATGGACATATATGCACACGCACACATGCGCATGCACGCCCGCCCGCAAGCACACACACGCATGCATGCATGCACGCACAAACAATGTGCATGCGTGCACACACACGCACACATACACACACGGACACAAAGGCACACAGAAGGAAGGAGCATACACAGTTGATTACACACACATGCGATGCCATGACACGGAGGGCGAAGGGCAAAGAGTCTGGCAGGTGAACGTTCAGGGTTCAGAATAGAGAATGCACTCACGTGTGGATGGTGAGGTAGAGGCACATAAGGTCGTGGAAGTGCGGGACGGTGAAGCCCAGCACGTGTTCAGTTGAGACCGACAAGCAAAAGGCAGAGGGGGCACTCATATGTGTTCCAGGCTTCAGGTTACTAGATGAAGGGCAGGGCTCCAGAATAGGGGAAGCCACTCACGCGTGGATGGTGAGGTAGAGGCGCATGAGGTCGTGGAACTGCGGGTCATTGAATCCCAGCATGTGGGCGAAGTTGGCGGCGTAGTCAAGCTTTTCGTTGGGCGGAATGATCTTGCCGTCCTTGAAGGTGTGCCGGTAGATGTGCGCCGCTACCTGGTGGGGTTAGGGGTTTACGGGTTGGGGGAGTCGCAATGCAGTGAGGTGAATGGGAGGAGTTGGCGGCGTAGTCGAGCTTGCCGTTGGGCGGGATGATCTTGCCGTCCTTGAACGTGTGCCTGTAGACATGCGCCGCCACCTGGTGGGGTCAAGGAGAGACGTGGGGTTGAGGGAGAGACATGGAAAGGGGAGGGGCATCAATAAGAATGCTCAAAAGCAGCACACTTGGGTGAGATGAACTTCCATTCCTCATAAACTCCTGCTGTGTGCTACCACCACATGAGAGTAGGGGTTTGGATGTCTGTTCGCCACTTGATGACAGAGGTTAGAGATCTAGCGGGTGCCAGTACTTGCTCTTGGGCATGCCCTCGTGGTACTTACAAGCATAGGGCACTCAACCATCAACACGGGGTGTACTCTCAGCACACACCTGGGGCAGCACGGCAATCAAGTCAAGAGCGTCTTCATAAGCGAGGTGCCAGTACTTGCTCTTGGGCATGCCCTCGTGATACTTACAAGCATAGGGCACTCAACCATCAACACGGGGTGTACTCTCAGCACACACCTGTGGCAGCACGGCAATCAAGTCAAGAGCGTCTTCATAAGCGAGGTGCCAGTACTTGCTCTTGGGCATGCCCTCGTGGTACTTGGCTGGGTTAGGGCACTCACCCAGTGACTTAATCCCCTACCATCTCACCTGGGGCAGAGTAGCAATCAGATCCAAGGCATCCTCGTAAGCGAGGTGCCAGTACTTGCTCTTGGGCATGCCTTCGTGGTACGCGCGGGCGAAGCGGCTGCCCTTCTGCAGCGCCATGACGCCAATGGAGAGCTGCGTCATGGGGTGCATGTCCCTGGGGAGGGCGTTCAGCACCGTGTGCACGTACTCTGGTGGGGGGAGAGAGGGGGGAATGGGGAGGGGGGAAGGGAAGGGGTTGAAGAGGAAGAGGCTGTCCTTCTGCAGCGCCATCACGCCAATGGATAGCTGCGTCATCGGGTGCATGTACGAATCGGGGATCTTTCAAACACCCACAACCCATACGAGACGTACCAGGAAACTTGATAGCCACGCCCCCTGCCAGATGTACCAGGCAAATTAATAACCACACCCCCTGTGCAACATACCAGGCATCTTGGCTCGCTCGTGCAGATCATGCGTCACTGTGGCCGCCTGCTCTCTGGTGGGCACCTGTATTGGGGATGAGGGGGATGGCAGGGCGCAAATCGACAAGTATTTTAATTTGGCTCAGAACACACCTCTGGCGTCAATGAAGCCGCCTGCTCTCTGGTGGGCACCTGTATCGGGGACGAGGGGTTGGCAGGGCACACAGCGGACGGGAAGCGGGTGTAGAATCTGGAAGGGTGAGAGCGTTTGCGAGCGAGGGAGTGAGTGCGTCCGTGTGCTCGCTCCCGCGCGTGTGTGTGTCTGTGTGTGTGTGTGCGGCGCTCCTCGCCGGTGAGCAGCAGCCAGAACAGCCTCGGGCATGGGTTCCCTGTTGATCACGGCCTCAAGCAGCAAGCGTTGGTTCTCGGGGATAGGCGAGAATTTGTCTACATGTGTGTGTGAAATGTTGCAGTTGGTCTAAGTGTGTGCGAGTGCCCACACGCACAACACCCCCCCTCTGCGTACCTCGCCTGTCAGGAGCAGCACGGCCTCAAGCAGCAAGCGTTGGTTCTAGGGTATAGGCGAGAACTTGTCTACATGTGTGTGTGAAATGCTGCAGTCGGTCTATGTGTGTGCGAGTGCGCACACGCACAGCAACTCCCCCCTCTGAGTACCTCGCCGGTGAGCAGCAGCCAGAGCAGCCCCTCGGGCATGGGCTCGCCATCGATCACGGCCTTGGGCAGCAGATGCTGGCACTCGGGGATGCTGTACCCGCGGAACTTGATGCCCTGGGGAAGGGGGAGTGGGGGCGGGGGGAAGGGGAACAGAGGATGGGGGCAGGCAGGGGGTCAGCGGGGCAGAGAGGAGGGAGAGGGCACTCGCCGTCCACCACGGCCTTGGGCAGCAGGTGCTGGCACTCGGGGATGCTGTACCCGCGGAACTTGATGCCCTGGGGAAAGGAGAAGGGAGGAAACAGAGGATGGGCGCGGGGAAGTGGGGAAGGAAACGAGGGCGACGAGGAGGGGGGAGGCAATGGTGGGCGCATTCACGCGATTACTGCGTTGTTCATGCTGGGAGAGGCACTCAAAGCATGCAGCTCTTATGCCTCTGTACGGGGTCGAGCTGTTCTCTAGACTAGCTCACAACTTAGCTCTGCAATCCATGCATTTGCTACATAACTGCTCCGGGTCGAGCTGTTCTTTAGAGTGACTCAGGCCTAACCAGTGCAATCCATGCACTTGCTACATACCTGCTCGATGCTACATACCTGCTCGGGGTCGAGCTGTGACGTCTCCCACACCAACCCCTTCACCCCTCGCATTCCTCCGATCGCCTGCTCGCACAAATCACCAAGAATAGGACGGAAATCAGGAACGAAGATGAGCAATACAACCACGTATGCGTAGCCGCACGGCTTGAGCGCAGCTTCGCTCGTAGAAAGTATAGTGAGGAGATAAATGCGACACGTTTGTCAGATCAAAGCGGTAATCCGACGACTAGACTGAGGGGGCGAGGGAGAAAGGGAGAGAGCGCGGCTCACCATGTTGACGGTGACCTTGCCCATGGACAGGTTGCCGTAGTGCGACTTGATCTGTCGAATCCGCTCCTGCTGCTGCGGCACCACCTCCTGCAGCTTCGCGTGCAGCTCCTGAAACGCACACGGCGGAAGAACGGGAGGATGGAACGGGTGCGAGAACGCAAAGCATTTCAGATGTTTAGCGGAATCTGCCCTTGGGCAGCGTCGATTTGTACGCCAGACGTGTAGTGGAGAGCGGAACGGTTTACTTTAAGATTAGTCATGGCAGGGATCAGGTATGGAAGGGATCAGGCATTGAAAGGATCACGAATGGGAAGAATTAGGCATGGCACGATCAGGCATGGAAAGGATAAGGAATGAAAGAAGGCATAGAAGGGATAAGTCATGGAAGAGATCAGGCGAATGCGTGGACCGCGACGAAAATCCATACATTCAGCATTTTCTAAAATCTCATCCGGTACTTGCTGTCGCTTACCGTGGTCAATGGGCGAAATGCCTGGTTAAAGAGCCGCGAGAAACTCCCATCCTTCTGGCTCTGACATCAGGAAAGAAACAACATTGGCTTAGCATGCGATATCGCACGGAAATTATGAAAACATGACAGACAGCTGACTTTGTAAGCACATATTAAGCAAATGATTTTCTTATTCTAGTGTTCTGCCTGCACAGAGGAGTAAGCACGACGACGCAAATACCCACCCTCTTCACGACGTTTGCTGCCCGAAATAGACTCCGCGAGAACGCCATGGGTGTCGGGCAAGCCTGGAAATCGACCAGCGAACACGAGACACAGTCACTCGGGTTTGCTTGCACCCGGATGCTACGCTCTCTCTGGATGTGGATTGCCTAACAAAAATCCGAACATCAAGCAAATACCCAGGACCAGGCTAGGACCTCAATCTCTGATGAATCCTGATGAAGCCAGACCAGATGTGTCTGTTGTGGTGTCCTCCTTGTTGGTTCTGTGCTGTGCCCCGTATAGGAACAATTGCCCGGTAGAGTTTCTCGCTGGGCAAGCTGCAGCAACAATGTTGCCACTTGGCAAGTTTTGGTTGCTTGAAAGGCCGGAGCCTGTTTTGGTCAAATCGGGTTCTTTGGGAACCACGTGGGACAGCGGTGGCAGTGATTCCAGTGATTGGTCAATATACCTCGAGAATACAGTACAGCACACCAGGGAGTCTCAGTAGTAGGCGCGGCTCTTCGTAAGTGATTGGTTTCCGATTTGAATGGCCCGGTATTCATGCGGCATTTCATATTTGGCTAACGAGGGTAGTGTATGGACCATATTACACGTTTTTCTGTGAGCAAAAAAAATCATCCATTATGCGAACAATCATTTGCAACAGCAAGCTTCATCACATGGCACAACACAAGGGCATGTCATAGAGTTTTCTTTTCTTCAAGCACTACCCGATGTCTTTTCTGAAGCAAACCAAATGCTTATGCTACACCTTAGTAGCGACCCTTCGCCTTGTTGGCCTGGTAAAACAAGTGGGTTGAATAGGGCAGACGACGTGCAAAGAGTCAGATGAATATGAACAGATGGAACCATCTTAAACAAACAAACAAACCAACCAACAAACGGCAGGAAAACAAATTGGGCTATCAGTACTTACGGAGACACGTGTGAGCCTCTTGCCAGCCCCTCGAGGCCGGTTTCTGGGCTCCTTGAGGCGATAAATGCGGACCATCCAGTGCTGCGAAGTGAACACCTGCAATAAGATAATTGGGGTTAAAGACCAAACAGCCCATACTTTTGACATGGAAGTTTCTAAACATAAAGCAGACACAAATGTGGGAACGACGACGTGCAGCTGTGACAAGAACACGAAATGTCATGCACCCAGATTCTTCCTCCTTGATTTCCATCACTTGACCATTAGAGCAGCCGCAAACACAGATTAAAAGGAGAGTCTACAACTCCACCCACACCAACCTGAAGCCACTGACCGCCTTGAAGTGAGTTCTTGGCCTTCTCCGTATGCCGTTTGAGTTGCTAAGGCTGAGCAGCTAAGCAAGGGGAACATAGATATTTCTCACAAGGGGAACATAGATATTTCTCTCACCTCCTCAAAGTGCGTGAGCTTGATGTTCTTCTTGCCTATCTCCGTGCGCCTCACTCGGTCAAAGCCCCTCCCGTCCACCTCTGCGAACCTGCCGGCACCAAGCACGAAAAAAAGACACACCCAGGCACATATGTGGGGTGATACGTGCTACAAGTGAGAGAGTGGCTGAGGAAAGCTTGTTCATACGAGTGAGCTTGTATCGAGTACACCTTGTACCTGGAGCAGGAGAGCTGCACACGAGGAAGTTGTGCAGACCTAAAGGTAAGCAGACAAGGAGAGCTTGTACAATTGAGGTACATCAAGTACATTCCATGCCTAGGAGGAGGGCTTGTACATGAGGCAGTGGAGCAGAGCTACAAGCGAGTGAGCTTCTACTGAGTACATGTCTTACCTGTAGTAGGAGAGCTTGTACATGAGGCAGTTGAGCATGGTGCTGGTGGCCTCACCATCCACCCGGTAGTTGCCGTTGTTCTGGGGGGGGGAGAAGGGGAGGGGGAAGGAAGGGAGAATGGGAGGGGTATGGGGCGGACGAAGGAGATTTGAGGTGCATGGTGCTGGTGGCCTCACCATCCACCCAGTAGTTGCCGTTGTTCTGAGGGGGAGAGGGGACAGGGGGAAGGGGGGACAGGGGGAAGGGGGGACAGGGGGAAGGGGAGACAGGGGGGAGGGGGAGTGGGGGAGGGCGGGAAGGAGCACATGAGCGGCTTCAAGGCACGGCGCTGCTGGCCTCTGCTTCCACTCAGCAGTTGCCGTTATTCTGGCCGGGAAAATGGGGAGGCGGGGGTACGAGAGGGGGGTGTTGCTGAACGGAGAGGAGGAAGGGAGAGCAGGTCCTTCGAGGTTCCTGTGGTGCTAGTAGCCTCTGTATCCATACGGTAGTTGCTGTTATATATGGTCGGGGAAGTGGGAAGGGGTTTGGGAAGTGGGGAGGGGTTAAGAGGCGGGGAGAGCGAGGGTGGGGGAAAGGGGATTTCATTCACAATTGAAATTGGGCTCCTCGATCATCCCCATCCCCATCCCCATCCCCATCCCCATCCCCATCCCCATGCCCATGCCCATGCCCATGCCCATGCCCATGCCCATGCCCATGCCCATGCCCATCCCAATCCCAATCCCAATCCCCATCCCCTCCATCCCCATCCCCATCCCCATCCCCATCCCCATGCACTCACCAGGTAATCGGGCTCCCTGATTCGCGGAAACACGCCGCCTCCAATCCGCACCATCCACAGGAACTTGTTGATGTCGTCGCTGGGATAGCCCACCATGCCTGTTGGACAGGGGGAGGGGAAGAGCAGACGGGGGAAGAGGAAGAGCACAGAGGAGGGAGGGAGGGAGAGGGGGGGGGGGCAGGAAGCATTGTGTGAGTGGTGCAGGTGTTGCAATGCGCACCATCCAGAGGTACTTGTCGATGTCATCCCTGGGGTACTCATCCCTGGGGTACTCATCCCTGGGGTACTCATCCCTGGGGTAGCCCACCATGCCTGTAGAGTAGAGTGGAGAATGGAAAGCGATGGGTTGGAGGGGCAACGGTGCATATCAGAGACTGTTATCTAGATGTTGATCCGCAGTGTCCGCATGAACATGTTGACACCGTCACCAGGAGAGCGTAAGAGGCCCTGAGGGAGTGCAGAAAGATGGGAAGCAGAGGGGACAGACACCGGGGACGTGGTGGATGGTGCATGCGTCCGTGTCCTCAGACGTCATGGCCATGCATGCCCACACGGTGGCGATGTTTCAGACGTCTCAAACAGCGTCTCAAAGTTTTGAGACATCTTAAAAGGCACAGGGGACGTGGTGGATGGCGCATGTGTCCGTGTCCACACGGTGTCCAGACGGCATGGCCATGCATGCCCACACGGTGGCGATGAGTGTGTCGTTCCATGTGTTGTGACATCCCTCCCAACACCCAACCTCCCAACACCTAAAAGCCCGCCTTCTAACCAGCACTCCCAATACATGCATGACACGTGTGCTTGCCGGCCTACCTCTGAACACCGCAAAGACGTATTTCACTTCACATCAATGGATCGATAAATCGCCCACGCGTCCTTCTCCCAACATGACATGGCCATGCCCACAGTGGCGATGTGTGTTGTTCCACATGTTAGAAGTGCACGTGTGCCACTGCCGACCCACCTCCGAACACAACAAAGACGTATTTCACATCGATGGAGCGATAAATCGCCCACGCGTCCTTCTCCCGCGATGACATGGCCATGCCAACCGTGGCAATGTGCGTGTTGTTCCACGTGTTGTTGTCCACGATCACCGTGCGGTTCGCCATAGCGGTTGTCTGATAGCCATAGTCCCACCACGATGCCACCTGGTGGGTGTTGTGTGAACAGAGGATTGGGAGGGTGTGTGGGAAACGGGGGCGTGCAGCGATGTGTGTGTTGTTCTTTGAGACATCTCAAAACACTTCTAATTTCACGTTGTTCCACGTGTTGTTGTCCACGATCACCATGCGGTTCGCCATGGCTGTTGTCTGATAGCCATAGTCCCACCATATGCCACCTGGTGGGGGGTATAGCATGGGGGAAAAGGCGTTTGAGAAAGGGAAGGAGGGAAGCGAAGAGGGGCATGTGGGGAAGGGAGGGTGTGTGGGGTAGTGCTATGAGTGCTATGAGTGGTACACAAATTTTGAGGCGCCTCAAAAGGTAGGGTGTGTGTGGTAGTGCTATGAGTGGTACACACACACAAGAATGGATAACCCACCTTGTCATTGACATCTGTGTTGTGTCGCAGCCACCCATGCGCCTCACGGAAGTCGTCAAAGATGTACTGCCCGCCGTGGTTGGTGGCAGTGCTGGCACTAGTTAGAAGCAGTGCTACTGACGGTACACACACAACAACAGATGTTGGTGGGAGGGGACCCACCTTGTCGTTAACGTCCGTGTTGTGGCGCAGCCACCCATACGCCTCACGGAAGTCATCAAAAATGTATTGCCCTCCATCGTTGGTGGGAGAGGAGAGCACGATGGAAGGCGCTGAGTACGCGTCTGCTGCCGCCCACACACAGTGCATCTGCGGTGTGATGCACGTGGAGGGTGGGGGTGGGGGTTTGGGTGGGTGGGTGGGTGGGTGGGGGTGCATGGTGGACCAAGGGAAAAGGGGAGGGTGAACAGCCATGGTTTGCCATTGATGGTGAGAGAGGACGGCACTTCGCATGTTAGTGCCACGAGGCATGAGAATGATGCTCACTGCTGCAGCATCGTGCTGCTGTGCGATGGTGCATAACACATGGTGTGGAATGTAAACGAGTTTTGAGTTGCACGAGCACCCACTCACCGTGTAGAAGGCAAGTCCCACGAGCATGAGGATAATGCCCACCGCTGCAGCAGCATCACATTGTGCAGTGTTTTATGAGAGACGGCGTGGACTGTAAACGACCTTGAGTCAACTCAGAACCAACTCACCGTGTCGAAGGCAAGACCCACGAGCATGAGGATAATGCCCACCGCTGTGGCATCGCCCGGCACCACCAGCAGAAACTTCCTCTTCCCCAATGTGTAAAGCACAAGCCCAATCCTGAGACTGAAACACCTCTCAACTCACGGTGTAGAAGGCGAGACCAACGAGCATGAGAATGATGCCCACCGCTGCAGCATCCCCCGGCACCACCAGCGGAAACTTCCCCTTCGCCTTCTCCTTCTCCTTCGCCCCCTTCCCCTTCCCCTTCCCCTTCACCCCCTTCTTCCCCCCAGCGCCCGCAGCCCCCCCTGCAGGCTCCTCGTCAGACTCCCCCCCCTCCCCCTCGCCCTCCCTGCCCTTCTTCTTCTTCCCCGCTCCTGCCTTGCGCTCCTTGGCCTGGCTCGCCTCGCCAGTCTTGCTGGTGGCCTGCAGCGGTGGCAACAGGGGTTCATACGGTTCATGAGGTCAATGAGGTCAACCAAGTCAATGAGAGTACCAGTAAGTGACTCACCCCCCCCTCCCCCTCGCCCTCCTTCCCCTTCTTCCCCGCTCCCGCCTTGCGCTCCGTGGCCTGGCTCGCCGCCTCGCCAGTCTTGCTCGAGGTCTGTGGTGTTAGGGTGGATAGCACAACAATATCGATTTTGCAATAAGGTCAATATATTTTCCCCCTTCCCCCTCGCCCTCCTTGCCCTTCCTCTTCCTCGCCCCTGCTGCGGCCTTGCGCTCCTTGGCCTGGCTCGCCGCCTTGCCAGTCTTGCTGGAGGTCTGTGGCGTTAGGGTGGATAGCACAACAAGATACAACAAGATGAATTTGGTCAATAAGGTCAATAACTTCCCCAATTCCCCCTCGCCCTCCTAGCCCTTCTTCCACCACCCCCCAGCTGCCTTGCGCTCATTCTCCTGGCGCGCTGCTTCGCCAGTCTCCTCCTTCTCCCCCTTGTCCTCCTCGGCAGCAGCATACGCCAGGTCGATGAGGTCAGAAATAGAGGCCTTGACAGAGCTCATTTCACACTGTAACCTACCTCACATACGGACATACTGCACATCATATCCTCCTTTCTCTCCCTCCCTCTCGCCTCAGCTGCAGCAGCAACAGTCGTCTCCTCTTTCTCCCCCTTGTGCTGCTTGGCAGCAGCATACGCCAGGTCGATGAGGTCAGCAATAGAGGCCTTGGCAGAGCTGACAGACCATTTCCCACTCGCCCACAAAATACATAAACATTACGCTCTCCTTATTCTCCCTCTCTCACCTCAGTAGCAGCAGGAGCAGCCTCCTCCTTCTCCCCCTTGTCCTGCTTGGCAGCAGCATACGCCAGGTCGATGAGCTCGGCTATAGAGGCCTTGACGGAGCGAGTGAGCACGTCAAAGAGAGCGCTGACTGCGATGCCCGCCGTGATGCACGCTGCTGGCGCCAGCACCAGCATCAGACGCACCTGAAAGGAGGAAATGTGGAAGTGGGAGAGAGACAGAGAGAGAAGCAAGGGAGCGAGGGGTGAAAGGACAGAGGGAGTGAGGACGTCCAAGAGAGCGCTGATTAAGATGTCCGCTGTGATGCACACTGCTGGCGCCAGCACCAGCATCAGACGCACCTGGGGGTAAGGGGAGAGAGAATGGGAGATGACTGATGCTGGGGAAAGGGAGTGAGAGAGGAAAGGAGGAAGGGAGTGGGGATGTCAAAGCTGAGCATTGACTGCAACGCCTGCCTGCCCGCTCTGACATGCACAAGTCATTGACTCACAAATTAACCACCTTGATTCCATCCATTCACCGCGAGGCAACTGCATCGACTCACCCACAAATTCATGCAGCCAGCCATGACCCCATTGACTCACCATGTCTCCGGAGAAGTACACAGAGACGACAAGGTAGAGTTGTTGCATTGACTCCCAGACCATTGACCCCATTGACTCCCATAACATTGACCCCATTGACTCCCATACCATTGACCCCATTGACTCCCATACCATTGACCCCATTGACTCCCAGACCATTGACCCCATTGACTCCCATACCATTGACCCCATTGACTCACCATGACTCCAGAGAAGTAAACAGAGACGACGAGGTAGAGGGCCACAAAGGAGCTTGCGTCTGTGAGTGGCAGGAAGCATGCCTGCAGCAACGAGGGGGTCGGGTTCAGGGATGAATGATCAGGTTATGGAATCTGGGTTCAGGGTTTGCACAGGGACGACGAGGTAAAGGGCCACAAAGGAGCTCGCATCTGTGCGCGGCAGGAAGCACGCCTGCAGCAACGAGGGGGTCGGGGTCAGGGGTCAGGGGTCAGGGGTCAGGGGTCAGGGGTCAGGGGTCAGGGTTCAGGGTTCAGGGGTCAGGGTTCAGGGTTCAGGGTTCAGGGTTCAGGGTTCAGGGTTCAGGGGTCAGGGGTCAGGGGTCAGGGGTCAGGGTTCAGGGTTCAGGGGTCAGGGTTCAGGGTTCAGGGTTCAGGGTTCAGGGTTCAGGGTTCAGGGTTCAGGGGTCAGGGGTCAGGGTTCAGGGTTCAAGGATAAATCTTGACAAAGGGGTTGGTGTTCGTGAGGGACAAGAAGCACACCTGCAGCAAGGAGAGGCAAAGAGGGCAAGAGGTTTTGAAATCCGGGGGTTGGGAACCAAGCCAAGACGCTGCAGCTGCAGTGCTCGCTCGAGGGTGAAAAGAAGGTCAGAAGCTGCTGTGCTTACAAACGTGTGTGCTTACGGGGCGAGTAATGCGGGGAGCTGCAGGTCCATGAAGTAGGACGTCCACATGGGCGGCTGGAGCTCGCCGTAAGGGGCTGTGGTTGAAGGAGCTTTCTGCACTAGAGTCGGATGCTGGCCAACTGGGCTTCTGAGCATGAGCATGAGCATGAGCCCAGACAACACACGGATTGCAATGCTTACAATGAGGCCGGCGGGGGCGAGGAAGGCGAGCAGCAGCAGGTCCATGAAGTAGGACGTCCACATGGGCGGCTGGCGCTCATTGTGAGGGGCTGGTGGTAGGCTTCACAAGTGTTGGATTGGATGGAGACAGTGTGCTTCCAAACATGTGTGCTTCTGGACGTGCGTGCTTACAATGAGGCCAGCGGGCGCAAGAAAAGCGAGCAGCTGTAGGTCCATGAAATAGGACGTCCACATGGGCGGCTGGTGCTCGCTCACACTGGCGATGATGGGGATGTACTTGGAGGCGTATGTGCTGTGGTGGATGGGGGGAGAGAAGGGGGGAAGGGAGAGAGGGAATGGAGAGGGGTGATTAGAGCACTGCAAGAAACCTTGGTGCTCGCTCACACTGGCGATGATGGTGATGTACTTGGAGGCGTATGTGCTGTGGGGAGGAAGGGAGGGAGGGGCGCAATGGGAGGTGTAGGGGGTACAATGTCAGAGGTGAGGGAAGGGAAGGGAAAGAGGGTGGGGCGCAATGGGAGGCGTAGAGGGCGGATTGGCAGATGTCTTGAATTCCTGCTGCTCGCTCACAGTGGCAATGATGGGGATGTACTTGAATGAATACGTGCTGTGGGGGAGAGAGAGAAAAGAAACGGGATATAGAGTGGGAATGTGGGGAAGAGAGAGAAAAGAAACGGGATATAGAGTGGGAATGTGGGGGAGAGAGAGAAAAGAAACGGGATATAGAGTGGGAATGTGGGGGAGAGAGAGAAAAGAAACGGGATATAGAGTGGGAATGTGGGGGAGAGAGAGAAAAGAAACGGGATATAGAGTGGGAATGTGGGGGAGAGAGAGAAAAGAAACGGGATATAGAGTGGGAATGTGGGGGAGAGAGAGAAAAGAAACGGGATATAGAGTGGGAATGTGGGGGAGAGAGAGAAAAGAAACGGGATATAGAGTGGGAATGTGGGGGAGAGAGAGAAAAGAAACGGGATATAGAGTGGGAATGTGGGGGAGAGAGAGAAAAGAAACGGGATATAGAGTGGGAATGTGGGGGAGAGAGAGAAAAGAAACGGGATATAGAGTGGGAATGTGGGGGAGAGAGAGAAAAGAAACGGGATATAGAGTGAGAATGTGGGGGAGAGAGAGAAAGAAACGGGATATAGAGTGGGAATGTGGGGGAGAGAGAGAAAAGAAACGGGATATAGAGTGGGAATGTGGGGGAGAGAGAGAAAAGAAACGGGATATAGAGTGGGAATGTGGGGGAGAGAGAGAAAAGAAACGGGATATAGAGTGGGAATGTGGGGGAGAGAGAGAAAAGAAACGGGATATAAAGTGGGAATGTGGGGGAGAGAGAGAAAAGAAACGGGATATAGAGTGGGAATGTGGGGGAGAGAGAGAAAAGAAACGGGATATAGAGTGGGAATGTGGGGGAGAGAGAGAAAAGAAACGGGATATAGAGTGGGAATGTGGGGGAGAGAGAGAAAAGAAACGGGATATAGAGTGGGAATGTGGGGGAGAGAGAGAAAAGAAACAGGATATAGAGTGGGAATGTGGGGGAGAGAGAGAAACGAAACGGGATATAGAGTGGGAATGTGGGGGAGAGAGAGAAACGAAACGGGATATAGAGTGGGAATGTGGGGGAGAGAGAGAAACGAAACGGGATATAGAGTGGGAATGTGGGGGAGAGAGAGAAAAGAAACGGGATATAGAGTGGGAATGTGGGGGAGAGAGAGAAAAGAAACGGGATATAGAGTGGGAATGTGGGGGAGAGAGAGAAAAGAAACGGGATATAGAGTGGGAATGTGGGGGAGAGAGAGAAAAGAAACGGGATATAGAGTGGGAATGTGGGGGAGAGAGAGAAAAGAAACGGGATATAGAGTGGGAATGTGGGGGAGAGAGAGAAAAGAAACGGGATATAGAGTGGGAATGTGGGGGAGAGAGAGAAAAGAAACGGGATATAGAGTGGTAATGTGGGGTTGCGCCTCCAAGAAAGTCATCATGCAAGGCAGCAGTCAAATCAACAAGCAAGCAGCACTCACGGGTCGAGAAGGCTGAGGGAGCGACCAGTCCAGCCCAGCGTGGGGCTGGCGAGCACCATGGCGACGAGAGCAGAGAGCAGCGCCACTGCCGCCACTCTGAAAGAAGCAAGGAACAGAGGAAGAGAGGGAGGGTGGTGGAGAATCAGGAAAGTGGGCAGACATCTTGATGGCATTGCAGTGCTGTGAGGTGGTCTCTCTCTGTAACCATGGAAAACTAAATACGCGTGAGTGAAGGAGAGAAGGAGAGGGTGTGAGCGAATGAGTCCATGAGAGAGCGACAGAGTGAGGGAGAGAAACGTACGCGCCGACCGAGACGATAAGGGTGAGTGAGTGACTGAGTGAATGAGTGAGGCGAAGGAGTGAGTGAGGGGGGATTGCGAGGGGGACGCACGTGCCGACTGAGACGATGAGAGTAAGAGCAATGCGGAACGCCTTAGCGGGCAGCAGTGCCTTGATGTAGTAGCTGAGTGCAGCGATGTGCAGCACCACAAACACCTGTGGGGGGAAGAGAAATTTGGCAATGTGATTAGCAAGAAATGGCATGCAAGGGAAGGAGTGCACGGGATGATGTGCAGCTGCCAATACCCCATGCAAGAGCGAGCTGCCAATACCCCATGCAAGAGCGAGCTGCACTCACCACGAACCCTCCAATTCCCAAGTGTTCAGACATCATGACAGCATGTTGTACAAAGGCCTGTCTGTCTATTACCCCTGAAAACACCCGTACCACAATGCATTGCATTGTGCCACGCAACGCACAAGCTGCACTCACCAGGAACCCTCCGAAGTGCTCAGACGTCATGACAGCGTTAAAGCCCACCACTGGCACCAGCGCTGCCAGCAACGTGCCGAGAATTATCTGCCAGGGACAGGGAAAGGGGGAGCCAGGTGCAGGGAGGGAGTGGTTGGCATGAAAGGTGAGTGCACAGGGTGCATTCAGAGGGTTGCAGAGGCGCTGAACCGCACCAGCGCTGCCAGCAACGTGCCCAGAATGATCTGCCGCGAGGCGGGTGGTTTGAGAGGTGCGTGGACGGAGTATACATGTGATGCTGGAGGCATTCACAACATGCACATTCAGATGGTTCATGAGGCGGCCTGAATTGCTGGTGACTGATGAACCATCAATTCACGAATGGTGCCCGGGGAATGGGCAGGGTTGGCTTCCAGGAATGGTGAAGCATGGTTGATTCAGGGCGTCCATTCCTGGAAGCCAACCCTGTCCATTCACGAATGGTGCCCAGGGTTGGCTTCCAGGAATGGTGAAGCATGGTTGATGAGGAGGAGCGACAACAAAGTGCTTACGAGCGGGGCGAAGGCGATGTAGATCGCGAGGAGAAGCGGCCGGTGACAGTGCAGAGCAGCACGTGGATGGGGATGAGGTTGATGCACGGCATGCTCGAGATTGCATTGCACTAAGGGGATGCAGCATCTCCCTTTCAAGGGGAGCGACGCATGAGGGGCTCACCAGGGGAGCAAAAGCGATGTAGAGTCTGGAAGAGAAGCGGCCGGTGACGATGCAGAGCAGCACGTGGATGGGGCTGAAAGCACGCATGCCCCTCAAGTGCACTAGGTTAAACCCCCAACTCGCTCACCAGAGGGGCAAATGCGATGTAGAGCCGCGAGGAGAAGCGGCCAGTGACGATGCAGAGCAGCACGTGGATGGGGATGAGGTTGATGATGAAGGTGTAGCCGCCCCACGACATGACCATGTAGAAATAGGCCGCTGCGTTGGCTGTGGCATAAAACAGTGATCCCGTGTTGAGGGTCTGGGGTGGGGTTGGGTGTGGTGATGGAGGGATTTAGGGTAGGAACGCAGGAGTAGCCGCCCCACGTCATGACCATGTAGAAATAGGCCGCTGCGTTGGCCGTCGCATAGAAGAGGGAGCTTGTGTTGAGTGTCTGAGATGGGGATTGGGGAGTGCAGCAAGTGCAGGGGCCATGATGGTTGGATGGGGATGAGGTTGATGATGAAGGTGTAGCCGCCCCACGACATGACCATGTAGAAAAAGGCCGCCGCGTTGGCCGTTGCATAGAACAGCGAGCCCATGTTGAGCGTCTGAGGTGTGGGGGGGAAGTGCAAGGGGTTTGGTGAACGAGGTTCAGGTTGATGATGAAGGTGTAGCCGCCCCACGACATCACCATGTAGAAATAGGCCACCGCGTTGGCTGTGGCGTAGAATAGTGATCATGTGTTAGGAGTCTGGGGAGAGGGTGTGGAGAGTGAAGGGGGATGGGGTCGATAAAGGCACACAATTACGGTCACACACAATCGGAAATCACACATTTGTTCACATGCGCGCACTCATTCCAATACACTTGCTCGCTCGCTCGCTCACTCACCTTGATGTAGAGGTAGAAGGTGAAGACGAGAGCAAAGATGGCCACCCCCTTGTTGTCGTAGCTGCCAGCCCAGTCAGCCACTCCCCACCCCCTTGATGCACACACACAATCACAAGCAGATGCCCACCCACCTACACATGCACAGTCCCCCACTCACTCACTCATTCCTCTCTCACCTTGATGTAGAGGTAGAAGGTGAAGACGAGGGCAAAGATGGCAACCCCCTCATTGTCGTAGCTGCCAGCCACGGAGCGAGAGATGTACGATGGGACCTGCAACGAGCAGGTGAGGAATGGTGCAAAGGAGCGCAGAGCGGTGAAGACAAGAGCAAAGATAGCCACCCCCTCATTGTCGTAGCTGCCAGTCACGGATCGAGAAATGTACGACGGGACCTGAAACGCACAGGTGAGGAGCGGTTCAGAGAGAGTGCAGAGCGGTGAAGAGGGAAACAGCATTGGCAAGCAAAAACCTTTAAAAAGACCAGCAGTCAACAGCACGATTGGCAACTCACCATGGCAATGAGCGCGGCAGCAGTGAGGCCAGCCCCCGTGCCCCGGACCTCCTTGGCCAGCAGGAAGGTGGCCCACGCCGCATGCGCTGAGAACACTCGTGCTCACGAGTTGACTCAGCAGTCAGCACCAGATGTGTGCTACTCACTCACCATGGCGATAAGAGCAGCAGCAGTCAGCCCCACCCCCGTGCCCCAGACCTCCTTGGCGAGCAGGAAGGTGGCCCACGTCGCATGCGCTGAGAAAACTCGTGCTCATTACCTGACTCACAGACTCAGCAGTAAATAGAAATAGAGTCCACTCACCATGGCAATGAGCGCAGCCGCAGTGAGCCCAGCCCCTGTGCCCCGGACCTCCTTGGCCAAGAGGAAGGTGGCCCATGCCGCATGCGCTGAGAACACTGGCGCCGTGAACACACACACTGTCTCCACTGAGAAGGGGAAGTTGAGAGCGTTGGCGAGCCTGAATCGGAAGGGATGTGGGTTTGGGGGGGATGGGAGGGATGGAAGGGATGGGAAGGATGGGAAGGATGGGGAGGGGAATGTATGCAGCACACACACACCGTCTCCACGGAGAATGGAAAGTTGAGGGCGTTGGCGAGCCTGTATATGGGGGGCGCAGCAGGTGGGCAGCGGGGAAGGGAAGAGAAGGGACGTGCTGTATGGACGGATGCAGCACTGGCGTCATGAACACACACCGTCTCCACTGAGAACGGGGAAGTTGGGGGCGTTGGCGAGCCTGTATGGGGGGGAGAGCATACGGGAAACGAGGAACACTGGCGCCGTGAACACACACACCGTCTCCACTGAGAAGGGGAAGTTGAGTGCGTTGGCGAGCCTGTATTGAGGGGGTAGCAGGTGGGCAGATGAGCGAAAGAGGAAAATCAAACTGGCGCCGTAAACCCACACAAGGTCTCACAGAGAAAGGAAAATCACGGCGCGTTGGAGAGGCTGTATTGGGGGGGGAAGGGAACGGGAGAGAGAGGGAGTCATAGGTACACCGTCCCACCAATGGCTCGCCATAATATTGACCCTCCAATCACCCCACGCCCTCGCTCTGCACTCACCACCACATGGTGCCAGCTGTGAGTGTGAGACCCGGGTACACCGTCCCACCAATGACTCCTCATGCCCTTATCTCACCTCACCTTGCACCCACGCGCTCGGCACCCCCTACACTCACCACCACATGGTGCCAACCGTCAGAGTAAGCCCCGGGTACACCGTCCCACCGATAAATCGCCGTGATCTCAACCTCCCATTCATCCCACACCCTCGACTCACCATGCATTCCATGTCTTCTCTCTCTCACGCCCAATAGACTCACCACCACATGGTGCCAGCCGTGAGAGTGAGACCCGGGTACACTGTCCCACCGATAACTCGCCCCAGAGGGTACCTGCCACACGCCGAGAAAGCAAGAGGCCAAGAGAACAAAGGACAAGAGGCGAGCAGGGCAGGACACGAGAGTCATATCACAAGGCAACGGCTTGAGTCAGGCGGAGCGAAACAGCTGGGGGCAGCAGGGTGTAACAACAACCATGGCAGCTCTCATCCCTCGCCATGCCATTTCCCATCCCTCGCCATGCCATTTCCCATCCCTCACCATGCCATTTCCCATCCCTCGCCATGCCATTTCCCATCCCTCGCCATGCCATTTCCCATCCCTCGCCATGCCATTTCCCATCCCTCGCCATGCCATCTCCCATCACTCACCACGTGCGGTCATCAAACCAGTTCCAAAAGTTATAGAACCCCTCCTTTGAGAGAAACTGCGGCGTGAAACAGGGAGCGGGAGAGGAGGGGAGGAATTCAAAATGAGTGCAAGGATTCGCAAGCACAAATGTTCGAACTTCATCGCACAAGACGAGCACGAGCAATGGGACGCGTGTGCGAGGCATTTGGGATGCCACAGCGCGCAAGGATTCGCAACGACACAGGTTGAAACTTCATCGCACATGACGAGCACGAGCAACGGGACGCGCGGGGGAAGCATCGGGAGAACACGTAATGGGACGCGTGCGGGACGAATCAGGGATGCCACAGCGAGACAGGACGAGCACGAGCGAGCGAGAGCCAGGCCAAATGAGGCACCTGGGAGACCGGAATCACCTGGGTGACGCGGTAGTTGAAGTAGGGGTCGAACTCGTGAATGACGCTCTCATACTTGATCACCTGCCATGGCAGAAGGAAAAGCAAGGGGAGAAGCAAAAATTTAGGGGTGCCTCGAGTGTTGTACGCGATACTGGCAGCGCAGCGTACACAGTTATGCTCGGGAAACAGCTCATGAGTGGCCCGACCGTGTGTAGGTGTCAGAACGGGCGTGAAGGACGCGCGGGTAGGCTGAAAACCAAAGTTCTTTGCTAGATCAAGTGCGCTGAATAAAATCGAGCATGTGAGATCCAGGCCTGGCCGGACCATGATCGGATGAAATAGATTGGGTGGACTGTCCAGGCCAGGTATTCTCGGTTAGTGTGCGTTGCCGAGAAGTAGAGAGTGGAAAGTTTTGCCTGAGGTGAAGCATTTCCTTTGGACACGAGAGGTAAAGTTTGTGATCCAGATCTGAAGAGCTCCATACGAAGCCAAACCGGCAGTGAATCTAAGTGCCTGATCGCTGAACATCGGGTACGCGAAGTGGGCAAGACGACGCTTTTGTACGAAGTGGCTCGAGGCAGCAGCTTCGTATCACCGAATCGAATCCAATGAAATCGGCACTCTTGTGTTTCGTGCTGTTTTCTTGCTATCAAATTCACGACTAATTCTCTGAAATGTCACGGAGCTTAGCATCCTATGCGACGTATATTGTGTTGGGACCTTCTCGGGAACTCGTAAAACTAGCCTAACACATCCCAAAATATTTTTATTTTTTCACGAACAGGATCTGGAGTCTCACCGAGAAGAGGCGGATCGAGAACGCCATGACGCAGATCAGGACCAGCGCCAGGCCGCACAGCAAACCTCCCCATGGACCCTGGCGGCTCGCCGCCGCCGCCATTGCCGCTGAGAGGCGAAACGAAGGAAAATCCCTCACAGAGTTATCGAGAGAAGCACCGCCAGGTGGCGCGGCGAACGCAGAAATGCGTTGGAAGGAAGAAAGAAGCCAACCTACAGATCCAGTGAAGGGAGCTGCACAGCCGACAGGCGAGCATCAGAGATTTGAGCATCCTCGAGTTGCACGGATCGCTACAGTATACCACAGATTGGAACTGCTCTATTAGCTAGTGGCACATTGACTAACTATTTATGTGTACTAATCTGTGAAACTTGAAAATGCTAGAAATTCATGTATGAGATACACTCAATGCATATATTCCTATGAGATACATTGTTGATGTTTGTTGGAAACTGTCAGAATGTTATTCTCTAGCCTGTAGTGGGGTGCTCTATAGCGAGTACAACCCATCTAGGGTTTGCTATATGTATCCTCATTGCTGCTAGTGAACTCCTCTTTTGCCTAAACTTCTCTTGCCTAGCTAGGACTTACCTAGCTATGGCTCCTAACTCTACCTACTATTTTCACATGCTATCAGAGCAGGTCGATCCCCTTGGGTCGATCCTGTGGGTGGGCTCACCACCTCACTGCTTCCGCTGCTACTGCCACTCTCTGTGTCGCACGCCCCGTGGCGTGCGACGGATTTTTCATCCCGCCGCGCGCTCGGAGCGTGCGGCGGTTTTCTGCCCGCCGTGCGCCCCGAGGCGCGCGGCGGTTTTCTGCCCGCCGTGCGCCCCGGGGCGTGCGGCGGTTCTCTGCCCGCCGTGCGCCCCGAGGCGCGCGGCGGCCTTCTGCCCCGTCGGTCCGCGCGTCGCCCCCGTGGGGCGCTTCGACGGGCGACGGGGACCAGCCCGTCGTCCCCCGTCGCCCGTCCTGGCCAGCGCGGGCTGCGCCAGCCCCGAGCGCGGCCCGTACGGGCTGCGCCCGGCCCGCGCGCGGCCCGTACGGGCTGCGCCAGGCCCGCGCGCGGCCCGTACGGGCTGCGCCAGGCCCGCGCGCGGCTCGGGCCGCCTGCGCGCGGTTCGTCGGGCTGTGCCAGGCCCGTGGGCGGCCCGTTCCTCTCTGTCCCTGAGCTGCTCGCTGTCCCCCGTGCTTCTGACGGTGCCCCACCCCTACTGCTGCCCGTTCTCCTGAATTAGGGTTTGGGGGTGAGGAGTGTGGGGGTGGCGGTTGTGTGTTACTCCCCTTGCTCCTCCTCCTCCCTGGTCTCCCACTGCTGCAGCTGCCGCTGAGGGGGGTGGGTGTGTGGGAGCCTAGGGTTTAGGGTTTTAGGGGGGTGCGTGGGAGTGGAGCTAGGGTTTGAGCAGTGGGTGTGTGTCGAGGGTGTGGGGCAGTTGGAGGAGGTTGTGTGGAGGTACCTGTCGTGTCGCCTGCAGCGCCTGTAGTCCGTCGCCCTTGCTTCGGTAGCCAGTGAGCCTGCTGCACCAGTCGCCAGTGGGTCCGTTGCTCCTGCCGCTCTTCTATAGCCGCCGAGCCAGTTACTCCAGTAGTCCGTCGCCCTTGCTTCGGTAGCCTCTGAGTCAGCCGCTCCTGTGCCCGTGCCTCTGCAGCTTCAGTCGTTGCCTCCCATCTTCTCTACCTCCACAGCTCCTCCTCCTCCTCACTTGCCCGCTTAGCTCTAGCTTTGCTTACCTTTGTGAACTCCTGCTCTATACCTGCTTGCTCATTGTACTGATTACACCCCACTTTGGCTATGGGGGTGTGTCAGAATGTTATTCTCTAGCCTGTAGTGGGGTGCTCTATAGCGAGTACAACCCATCTAGGGTTTGCTATATGTATCCTCATTGCTGCTAGTGAACTCCTCTTTTGCCTAAACTTCTCTTGCCTAGCTAGGACTTACCTAGCTATGGCTCCTAACTCTACCTACTATTTTCACAGAAACAATCGGTCTTAAGCGCCTCTGTCGTGTCGAAACACTAAGACACAAAAGAAACGAAGTATAACGAATCACCGGCGAGTCAACCCTCGGAGGTTGAAAGTAACTGTTGGAGGTTACGCGAAAGTCAAAGGTCAGCGACCTTTGACCTGACAAAGTACAGCGCGACAGCAAGGACAAACAACTGACTCAGTATTGAGCAGTTGCCCGAGTCGTCACTGTATCGAACCGCAACAGCAATAGTAAAACAGTTATTAACTGTATCTCTTCGTATTCCTTGTACTCTTATAAAAGCTTGTATCTCTTCGTTTTAATCAACTTACTTTGCCCTCACATACTAGCGCAAGGAGGTTCACAACTCTTTAATTAACGCTTCCGCTACTACACCAACTCTACCCAGAGTTCACCCCTGCAAAGATCCTAAAGAGTTTTTTTTCAACCCAACATGGTATGAGAGCTATCAGGGGGAATTCAACTTCTATACCGACAACATCAACAAGCATGGCTACACAAAAGGAAAGGAGCAACTCCAACGGCTCCCAGGGCACTACTCCTACTCCACCTCCTGCCTCTGGCCTACAGACAGAGGAGGGCACAGCAACAAGACCCAGAGCAACATCTACCGAGACTCTCGCGAATCAACCTGCAGACTTCGACCAGAGCATGATGGAGAAGTTTTTCTCCTTCATGTCCTTCTACGAGCAACACCAGCAATCGGCACCTACGCAGTCACACAACAGCAACAACAACGGAGCAACACCCATGAGTCTCGACGGCTCATCATATGCACGAGGAAATCAACAACAGCAGCCTACCTTTGCTCCGTACGAGCGCGGGTCCATCAGCTTTATGCCACACCCACAGCCTTCACCTGGACAAGAAAAACCACTGGACGCATTACAAGTTCAGTCGCAGTTCGCACATGTTCTGAAGATGCAGACGTCAAGACCCTTCGATGGAAAGGACTTCTTCACCTGGTCGTTCGAGTTCGAGCTGATGATGGAAGGCGCGCAGATACTCGGGTTCTTCGACGGGTCTCTGCCATACCCAACAAACGGCACACAGTACGAGAAGCAGCAGTACACCTATCAGTCAATGATGGCGTACACGATCCTACTGAGGAATATCACCCCGACTCAACAGCAGAACATAAGGTCTTACCGAGGTTACGGCAACTCCGCGGAGCTCGCGTACAACCACCTGAAGAGCCTGTATCAAGCAACAGACAGCGTGAGCCAAAGTCGGTTAATGGCGCAACTAACAACGGTTGAAATGAAACCAGGGGAGAAAGGAATGGCGTATATCAGTCGATGTCGCGAGTTGCGCGACAAGCTTCTTCGATGCGGAGGGTCGATCTCTGAAGACGCCTTCGTGACAGTCATCATCGGCGGCCTCGGTCCTCAATGGCGCGCCACAAAGGCCATTCTCCGAGCTCACGGAAGAATCTCCGAAGCAGCGCTCTGCGCCGAAATCCACGCCGAGCAGCAAGACATGGACCTGCAAGAAGAACGACACAAAAAGAAGACATCAGCACCGGAATTCGCGTTCCACACTCAGCGACGCTACAACAACAACAACCGGCAGCAACAACCGAAGCCAGTACCTCCGTTCTGCCACATCTGCAAAACTTCAGGACACCCGCGTACACACTGCCCAAATCGTCAACAGTCAACAACTCCACAGCGGCAACTACGACCTTCAAGCAGCCAAATCGCCTCAACGCAAGCAAATCCCACGACCCAGATTCAAGCCTCAACGACTTCAACGGGACAACCTGCACAAGGAGCAAGAAACATCGTCAGCTGCATGGCAAAGCTGAGTGACTCCTGCATCACCGAGTCACCACCACACTACTCACCGGAAGAACAACTCGACGAAACCACACCCCGCCGCGAGTCACTTCAGCCGAACCCGACATACGCCGCCATCGCCCAAAGCGAACCATCCGGAAAAGACACATGGTTCTTGGACAGTTGCTGCGGACAGCACATGTGCTCCTCGGGACGCTTCGTTCAACGAGAACACCAACTTCAACGCGAAGTTGTCATTACAGTCGCCAACAATCAGAACCTGCGAACACCCAACGATCGGCCTAACTTACTACAAGAGCGCAACCACACCGACTAAGTTAATCGGCTACGTCGACGCTGATCACGCTGGCGACTCCAACAATAGGCGCTCCCGCACCGGCTACATCTACCGCCTCGAACCTATCGGACCTATCTCTTGGCAGTCGAGCAAGCAGGAATTAATTGCTCTCTCGTCAGCTGAAGCAGAATATATTGCACTCTGCTCAGCCACCAAGGAAGGACTCTATCTTCGCGAGCTGCTGGAAGAAGCGAAGTTAGCCGAGTTACCCAACTTTACCCTGTTCTGCGACAACCAGTCAGCAATTCGCATCGCCAACAAAAACGGCTTCGCGAACAGGACGAAACACATCGCCTTGCGATATTTCTTCGTGAAGGACGAGATCGAGAAGGGAAGGCTCGAGCTGTCATACTGTCCCACGTCTGAGATGGCAGCTGACTACCTGACCAAGAAGCTCGGAAAGCAGAAGTTCGAATACTGCATGTTCCTGACTGGACAGAGCCACGTCAGCGACACTCCAGAAGCGAAGGGGAGTGTTGGAAACAATCGGTCTTAAGCGCCTCTGTCGTGTCGAAACACTAAGACACAAAAGAAACGAAGTATAACGAATCACCGGCGAGTCAACCCTCGGAGGTTGAAAGTAACTGTTGGAGGTTACGCGAAAGTCAAAGGTCAGCGACCTTTGACCTGACAAAGTACAGCGCGACAGCAAGGACAAACAACTGACTCAGTATTGAGCAGTTGCCCGAGTCGTCACTGTATCGAACCGCAACAGCAATAGTAAAACAGTTATTAACTGTATCTCTTCGTATTCCTTGTACTCTTATAAAAGCTTGTATCTCTTCGTTTTAATCAACTTACTTTGCCCTCACATACTAGCGCAAGGTGGTTCACAACTCTTTAATTAACGCTTCCGCTACTACACCAACTCTACCCAGAGTTCACCCCTGCAAAGATCCTAAAGAGTTTTTTTTCAACCCAACATGGTATGAGAGCTATCAGGGGGAATTCAACTTCTATACCGACAACATCAACAAGC